AAATAAGAGGTGATTTGTTTGGTGGTCCACAATTCTATCTGTTTTCATGCTTTTCTCTCTCTCTCATTTTTTGAGAGGGGAGAGGTTTCTTCACCTGCCTCCTCCTACCATTATCCCCAGCCAGCTCAACACAGGAAGCCTTGAAAGAAATAAAAGAGATCACATGGGGGGGGGGTGCTCAGATTTAATGATGGGGAGGGGTGAGGCGGGGGCTGGGGGTGGGAGGACATATGTGGGCTGACAGCTCGATGGGGCACTGCTGAAGAAAGGGCAGGCATCCAGGTAGAGGTGCTGAGGGCGAATGACAGCAGTGTAATACCGAATTAGCAGGAAGGCACCCTGACAGTGAGGGGTAGGGGGAGAAGGAGGCAGCATTAAATCTGGGGAAGCCTGGAGGAATCTCTGAACTGTGAGGAAGGCCTGAGTGGTGTATCGATGATGCCCCCGCTTTCCTGAAATCACAGCCAAGGTGGGGGGACTATCTGATGGCTGTCTGTCCTTCCATGCTGGCGTGGCTATATGGTTAAAGGGCAAGAATAAGAACATTGGTGCCAGCATGGGAGGAAAACGTGGTCTGGGAAACAGGCCGGAATGAGGGTTGGGGCTGGGGACAGCAAGCACTTTCCATGAAGACCCATTTTCCAGCTCTCTGTGTTGTGAGTGAAGACGTGTTGCAGGTGAGGACACACAGGCAGACGTGTCGGAGTGGTATCACTAACCAGACGGCACGGATGCCCCCGGACACCTGTCCCCGCGAGGTGCAGGTAGCCATGACAGAACTGAGCTCACGCGGCCGTGCACTGACCCGGTGGAGAACGAAGCAGGGAGGGGTAACCTCCCACTGGCTGGCGCAGGTCTCCTGGGAATTAGAAAATTCCCAAGTAGAAAAATGAGAACTACACATGACCTCTATGTGGGTCAGGCGCTATGCTGGAGGCTTCATTTCGTGATGGTTGGCGTGCTGGAGTCCCAGCAGTATGCGACGAGGCCCTGCCATGTCCTGGGCAGTGTCCCTGCCCTTACCCTACTGTTTCTGGGGTCTGCGCCGCTTCCGAGCAGTGGGCACACTCTGATTTCCTGATAAGCCTGTTACGTGGTATGTTCCAAGGACTCTGCATTCCAAAATGGAGTCCACACAGTGGACTGTTAGGCACTTCATGCTGTGGGTGCCTGGCTGTCCACCAGCTTGGCTTCTCAGTTCCAACCAGGTTGGCCAGGATGCCTTCAAATCAATAGCCATGGGGTTCATGGCAAAAACAACAACAACAACAAAAACCAAAACAACGAAAAAGGTAGGAAAGGAGGGGTTCGGGCTGCAATGGATGACCCTGGGACTAGTGACTGAGTGAGCAGAGTTAAGATATTCATTGATAATGAAGTATCCCAGGGGAGATATTGACCAAGTGGCTCCTGCTAGGAGCCTGTAAGCCCCCTGTCCCACTTTCCTTTGGCCCCTGAGCCCCCATCTAGACACTCTGATGGAATATGCCCTGCTTAGCAACCCGTGCGGGGACGGGGACGGAACATCTGCTGCCTTTCCAGGTCTCTGCTGCAGGCTGGCCTGTGGATAGCTTGTTTCCAGCCTGAGGGCTTTCTGAACTTTTCGATGTTACTGGGCTCTGTATGGCTGTTAGCCCCTAGAGCACCGAGAACTCAGCAGCCGGGGCTGGAAGAGGAGGGTTTGTTGTTGGTTTTGTTTTTGAAATCCAAGCACGTGGTCTCGGCAGCTCGGTTCAGTGATGCTTTGAGTCCTTGGAAGGAGACACTCACCTTGCTGGCCTGTGGAGGGGAGCCCCTCCCTGACGGGGCTGAGTCAGAAGCCTAAGACAAGGTCCAGGTGGGATCTTTGGGGGACAGGTGCAGGGCAGGCTGTGAAGACTCAAGCACTGCTCGCATCATATTTCCATGTTAGGGAAGGCTGCCAATTCCCAATCCCAAACCCTAAGCATGATTTTTGGATCCTTAGGCTCATTCTCTGAATGACTGCTCTGTGCTGAGGGGTTATAGGTTTGGGGTAAAGTTGAATGCGACCCTGGCTCACGTCCAGGGATGTGGCTCCTTGCAGCATAAGGAGGACATGACGGGCTGTGAGAGAGGTACAAGGGAGTGTGGGCAGAGGGGATTCAGTCTTACCGGGAGAGTCTGCCCTCAGCATCCATGTGTATTTCTCACTAGCTGAACAGTTCCCTTCACACTGGGGGCTTGCCTTTCTGCTCCACTGGCCAGGTTAGAGGCTTTTGAAAACTTATGAGGAAAAGCATTTAGGGGTCTGTGCTTGTCGGCAGCTTATTGAAAGAAGGATTTGGTCTTACAGGGTGATCCCTTTTCTGTTATCAGAGGCAGCAAAGCTTAAAACCCATTACACTCCCTGTGGGGGATATTGTTCCCATTTTATAGGTGAAGGCATTGAGGATCACAGGGGAAGTCAGCTGCCAAATCACAGCCAGAACTGAGTCTTCACTCCCACTGCACTCCCTTAGAGAATGTGGGACATGTTATCTGGCTGAGCACACCGAAATGATATAAAAGGTAAAAGTTTAAAAATACGGAAGTAAAGTGTTATCTAATATTTAAGCACATGGAGATTATGTAAAAGGTAAAGTGAAAAGTATGGAAATAAAATGGTATATGACATTGAAGTTGACTTAATTCTACCCTCCACGTTTCAAGGGAAAAGGAGGACTCTCCTCCTTCAACTTGACTTTCAAAAACTGGGTCTAGAATGGGAAGGTGCCCAGTGGAGAGAATGGCAAGGGAGATTTGGAGTAAAAGCAGACTCACAGAGCAAGAACACATGCAGATTGCGTGCCCAGCACAAGCCTGGGGCATAGCAGACGCTCAATAAATGTCCCTTCCTTTCCTTCACAGAGGGACTAAGATGCTCCTGAAGCTGACGTGGCCTGGGCACAGATTAGGACGTTGGACAATTAGGGCGTTGTTCAGATATCCACAGATAAGGACATGTTTGACTTTGGATTGAGGTTCTCTCAAAGCTTTAAGCCTCAAGATTTATTTGCATGATTATGATTATATAAGCCAGATTGGGAAAAAAAAAATCAAGGAGACACATGGGTTTGCTTCCTTCAGCATTCCCTTACTGCAAACCAAGTAGCATGAATAGCTAGCTCCCTGTTCTTCACCCTCATCCCTGCTCTGGCCATGTAGTTAAGACACAGGATTGGAGGTTGCGGGGAGGGGATGGGAGAAGGGAAATGACACTTCTTGAGTTTCTGCTACTAACTAGGAACTGTGTTTGGCACATGGGTACATGCTCTGTTCTGTTTTTGCAATAGCCATACTCTTCTTCTTATTCGCTTTTAGAAATGAGGAAATTCAGGCTCAAAGAGCATTTTGAATGACCCAGGGTCATTTAACTAAAATACAGTGAAACTGAGACTTAAACTCAAAACTTATGTTTTTTTATGTTATTTTATGCTCTCTCTGTCCTGGGCCCTGAGAAATCCTGGTTCTGTAACTCATGGGCCTACGTGGAATGCACGGCCTTAGCACCAGGAAGGAGAAGGAGATAGCTTTGCTTCACCCAAAATAGTAGTGATACCTAACATTTGTATCATATCATGGTTTTCAAAACACCTTGTGTGAATTTCTCATTTTACAGCTAAGAGTACAGAGCCTCAACGTTGAATTCAAAGTCACAGAGCCAGGAAATCACAAACTGGGGCTCACACGGAGACCCTGTGACCTTAAATTCCATTCCAATACTCACGTGTCTGGCCACACAGGCAAAGGAAGGACTGTGACTGAGTTTAGGAGTGGATGCTCTCTCTGCATTTGGTGACTTGATGGGTTTTCTGATACTCATCCTTCCCTGGTGATCTTGAAAAGTCGGACTTCCTGGTTGCTTAGCAGAATCACCCAATAATACATGATTACTGACTGGTTACATCAATATACACTTGGACCTCAGAGTTATGGAAAGCCTTTGATGGCAACCTTTTGTTGGGTGCCCAGAGTCAGACAGACCCAGGAATAGAGAGGCTTTCCCTAAGTCCCTCAGCCTCTGGGTTTTCATGTTGAAAAATGACAGGGTTGATAGCTGTAAGGACTTCTAGTTACAAGAACGAGAATTCTCCTCTCCTCAGTGACTGGCTCTTGTGTTCTCCTGGTGTGATATGGGAAGGAGTCAAGATATTTTGAAAAATGACAACTCTTTTTTTTTTTAAAGATTTTATTTATTTATTTGACAGAGACAGAGACAGCGAGAGCAGGAACACAAGCAGGGGGAGTGGGAGAGGGAGAAGCAGGTTTCCCGCTGAGCCAGGAGCCCGATGCGGGACTCGATCCCAGGACCCTGGGATCATGACCTGAGCCAAAGGCAGTCGCTTAACCAACTGAGCCACCCGGGCGCCCGAAAAATGACAACTCTTTTGAAGCATCCTAGGCCAACCTCTTTCTGTAAGAGTATGCATACTTGCCCACGTTGCATTTGTACTCCCCCAAAGCACTTGTTGACACTCTTCCTGGAGCAGAGGGACAAGCAAGGCCTCTGAAGCTGCTACTGAGGGGCCCCTGTAGTTAATAAACCTATCGCCTCTTTCATCAGCCTCACCGGGTGGCAAGCCAGCACAGGCCTGGTGGTAGCTGCCCTCCTTTGGATTGGTCCAGAGCAGGGAACGGCATTCTGCAGAAGGTCTTTTTTTCAGATTGAGAAACCCATGTCCTGATCTCCTCTTTTGATGATTTCACAAAAATTGAATTGCATGACAGATGCCCAGATAAACAGGGGAAGTTTGCAATCAAAGCAAGTTTTGGGATAGAGCTGATTAGGAGACTTTTAATGGCTATTAGCTTGATAATCACTAACCAGGCATAGCTTCCAGGCAGACCAAACCCATGCATAAGTGTGCCCACACCCATGCACACCAACACCTAGTTGGCAGGTATAAAAGGGGACCCTGACTGTCTCCCGACAGCAGAGCATATTCTCCAGCCTTAACTCGTCTCGGAAACCCCAATTTTCTTCGCTGGGCAGAGGCATCATGAGTTGTCAGATCTCGTGCAGATCTCGAAGAGGAGGAGGAGGAAGATTCCGGGGCTTTAGCAGTGGCTCAGCCGTGGTCTCCGGTGGGAGCCGGAGATCGGCCACTGGCTTCTCCTGCTTGAGCCGCCATGGTGGTGGCAGAGGGGGCTACTGCGGTGGTGGCTTTGGCAGTCAGAGTCTTGTTGGCCTTGGAGGCACCAAGAGCATCTCCATTAGTGTGGCTGGAGGAGGTGGAAGCTTTGGTTCCAGTGGTGGATTTGGTGGCAGAGGAGGTGGCTTTGGAGGAGGCAGCGGCTTCGGTGGAGGCAGCTTTGGAGGCGGCGGCTTTGGCGGAGGCCGCTTTGGAGGTGGTGGTGGCTTTGGAGGTTTTGGGGGTCCTGGAGGATTTGGGCCTGGAGGATTCCCTAGTGGATGCATCCATGAAGTCTCCATCAACCAGAGCCTCCTGCAGCCTCTCAACGTGAAAGTTGATCCAGAGATCCAGAACGTGAAGTCTCAGGAACGGGAGCAGATCAAAATACTCAACAACAAATTTGCATCTTTCATTGACAAGGTGAGTCATGAGAAGTTGGCTCCATCTGATGCTCAGGATGCCCTACTTCCACTACTCACTGGAAAGGAAACAGCACATAGGAAACAGCTCCTGTTTCTTTTAGGAGCCCTTGGTGTCGTCAAACTAGCCTGGCTTATTTCCCAAATGGGAAAGAGGCTGGCTTCCTGGGCTGCGTCTTCTGAGACAGTCTGCAGTTAGGAATTATGTATGCCTTTGGCTTTATTGTTTCAGCCTAAATAAGTAAGATTTATGGAAAATTCTGAAAATCATGGGAAAACTGTTATAGACAAGTAATGGACTGAGTAGTTCAGGCCAAGTGGCAGCAAGTATTGGAAGAAGTTGGTAAGACATCTTCTGAGATAGTCTTTCCTTCCCTGGAAGTTATTACTCTCTTAGGTTCTGGGAAGCTGAACCTGCTTGGGGATGAATGAAATTCCTGCCTTCAAGAGAAGCATTCTCAGTTTTGTGACCCGTAAAGTCTTTATTGGTGTCACTTTTGAGCATTACAGGGTTTTGTCCTATTTCAAGGCAGATGAACTTGCCTAAGAAATTTACGAGGCTCTTAAAAACCAGACCGAGGAGCCCTGCCCTGCGGTGCTCTCACACTCAGCACCTTTAGGAGCAGTGCCAGCGGACGCCTATTTTTGGTTTGCCCAAGACTTTATGGGACTTTTGCTGGGAATTCAACTAGGATGGGAGAAGGAGATAGCTTGGAGTCTCGGGAGCAGCTGCAAACAAGATAGTGGGTGGTGAAGTAGGAAAAAGAGCTCTCTGTGTGGAAAGTACCAGACGTAACATTAGGGGTCTGTAGAACTTTCCAAGTGTGGAGGCAGGGAGCTCGAGCTGGATCCGGCATCCAACTTGTGAGCACAAAGCCGAGTAGACTTCTTTATGTCCCGAAGCAGGGTCAGAGCTGTCTCTGGCAAATGAGTCCCGCTGGTGGGAAGGGCAACCCAGAGCTCCTGTGCTCTTCCTCTGGTCCCCGTAGGTTCGGTTCCTGGAGCAGCAGAACCAGGTGCTACAGACCAAGTGGGAGCTGCTGCAGCAGCTGGACGTGAGCACCCGCTCCACCAACCTGGAGCCCATCTTTCAAGCGTACATTGCCAAACTGACGAAATATGTGGATACGCTCTGTGCAGAACGAACATCCCAAGATTCAGAGCTGAACAACATGCAGGATCTTGTTGAGGATTTTAAGAAGAAGTAGGTGGCTGAGTAAATGCCAAATAAATATTGATCGTAGCCATCCGGTTGTTCCCCCAGGAGGCCACTCATGTCCCCATTGCATTTGTGGTGATAATTTGTGTGTGCCGACTATTTGTGAGGAAGACATTGAGGGCTTTAGAGATCATGTTTTCTTCACATGTTTGGGAGTTAATTTATAGAAAAGCATCCTTATTTGGGACACCATAATTACCATTTGGAGAGTGAAGGTGTTTTATACTCTTAGAGAGTGGAAGATTTGGGGGTGAGTCCAGTAGGAAAAGGAAAAGAAAAAAGTAAACAAAGTAGAACTGATCTAACAGCTGTGTCCCCGGGTCCCCACAGGTATGAGGATGAAATCAACAAGCGCACATCTGCTGAGAATGATTTTGTGACCCTTAAAAAGGTGAGCAAGGGAATGTCATGGCTGGGTGGGACTGAGGAGGCTTCAGAAGCCCACCGGGTCCAGGCAGACAAGCAGGAGAAGAACTCTGAGTGGAAACAGCAGTAACTAAGGGAAAAGGGTGAAGCAGGTCCACCGCTGGTTCTCTTGAAAACAAAAGTGTCTCTGCAGTTCAAGCTTCTGGAGCTGCTCTGCAGATTTGCTGGAGCATTCTCACCAATAACCTCCTTCAAGCTTATACTGGGCCCTGCAAGATGCAAACACAGAAAGCACTTCAGTTGTCTTCTAAAGAGCTGAGGAAGGGATGGACCTCCCTTAGATGCCTAAAGATGTTGTCAGTTATGCTGACGAGTTTGGGCTAGAAGGCAGAAATGTAGCTTCTCAGCCCAGTTGTTGCAGAAGCTTTGGTGTAAAATCCAGAGAAGTTCAGGTGAGGTAGGATGGACAGACAGGAGGGAGAGTTGAGGGCTGATAAAAGCCACAGAGGCCATTAGGTTCCATAGTAGGAACACACAGTGTCTCAAGCAGGAGGGAGACAATGGTTGACAAAGCTCGTCCCGCCTGAGCTCTGATGGTCTTGAGGAACATGAGCAGTGAACGAGGGCACCCGGCCCGTAGTCGAGGTGCATTGTGGACTCTGTGCCAAATGATGCCCCGTGGAGACATGGCTCACCTGAGGTGCCTGCGATGTTGGAGAGCCACTGACAGGGACTGGGTGGAAGAGAGAGACAGAGAGAGGGTGGGGCCCATACCTTGAGCCGTGGGTGAGTTTTGCCAGAAACCCTTCACATTTTCTGCAGGACGTGGACAATACTTACATGACCAAGGTGGAGCTGCAGACCAAGGCAGATGTGCTGACCCAGGAGCTTGAGTTCATTAAATTCCTTTTTGAGGCGGTAAGGAGGCTGCTCCTGGTGAGACCCTTGCTTCTCACTCTTCCCATCAAAGCAGTCCTTCCCAATGGGTGAAAAGGTGGGATGAGTGGGGTTTATGGACTGGCTGACTCCCACTTGCCACCATTCCAGGCCACTGGGGGTTTCTGGGGTGTGGGTCTTGGAGGAGAGAACTATCTTCTCTGATGAAGGAAGGCTCAGGAAACCCGGGACAAATTCCCTTCACTTCATTCCTCACATGTCCTGCTGCCCTTAGGCAAAGAGCTGTCCTTCTCCCATCCCTAAGTCTATCGTGTTTCAGACCTCCCCTCTGTGCCCATGTGTACACACATTTTCCAAAACATTTGTCATCCACATGCTTCTTTCTGGGGGCATCAAACTTATCAACACTGTCTACCTGGTGAAGGCTATCCAGCAGGAGGCTCAGAAATAGACTCCTCTCCCATAATTCTCTGGACACCCTTGGCAGAGGGTGAGGATTGGTGGTTATCTCGCTTTCATCCCACCCATCATATCCCACTCAGCTTAGTCTGAGAGTCTGTATTTCCCTAACTCTGGGGAGGGGGAATGCCTGCTCACCGCCTTGGCTATGGTCAGGGAAGCCATGGCCAGACCTCCCGTCGTGTTGCAGGAGCTGTGCCAGATGCAGGAGACTATCACCAACACCAACGTCATCCTGTCCATGGACAACAACCGCAGCCTGGACCTGGACAGCATCATCTCCGAGGTCCGGAGCCAGTACGAGGAGATCGCCCAGAAGAGCAAGGCCGAGGCCGAGGCGCTGTACCACAGCAAGGCAAGTACGCGGAGAGCAGAGAGAACCACAGCTTTGTCTAAAAAGCTGGGTTTCACCTCGGCTGGAAAGTGTCCAGTGAGCTGACGGGTGTCTTTGTCTAATAGAAGTTGGGCAACATTCCCAAGCAAGAGTGTTCACAGGACCAAAACTGCCCTCAACTGAGAATGGCACTGAGTCCTTTTGGGGATGTGAGACAGTCCCCCACTGCTCACGAAGGTGGCTTGGTTGACCCACCGTGTATTAGACTTTCCTTGGCTCAAGCCAGGCTTCCTCCAAGCTGCCACTGTCCTCCTCTTCCCGTACAGTATGAAGAGCTCCAGGTGATGGCGGGGAAACATGGAGACAGCCTGAGGGAGGTCAAGATGGAGATCGGTGAGCTGAACCGCATGATCCAGAGGCTGCAAGGGGAGATCGCCCATGTGAAGAAGCAGGTGGGCGCAGCTCTGAGGGCTGTGTAGCTCCAGGGGTCGAGTGGGGCTTGCGGGGGTGGGAGGTCGTGTATGGGTGTGTGTGTATGGGGGGGGTGGGAGTGTGTGAGTGTGTGTGTGTGTGTGTGAGAGAGAGAGAGAGAGGAGAAACTGAGAAATTCTAATCTAGCATATGTTGATCCCAAACATCTCGAGCATAACATAATTTAAGGCTTGTAACAATTTTTATGGTGGTCTAAGAGACATTCCAAAGTGAGGATTAGGGCAGGGAAAGAAGTGTGTTACCTTTCGGATTGCCTCCATAAATGAAAGGGAGTGATAACAAATAAAGCACAAGGTCCTCTGGCTGGGGCGGAGGTGGGGGGGTTGGAGGCAGAGCTCGGCCTCCGTGCTTGGCACGGGCCCCAAGCACGGGCGGTGGTGTGGTGGTGGGGGGGCAGTGGGTGTAGCAGGGAGCTGGCCAGCCGGTGGGGGTTAGCTTGGAAGAGACAATGTGGGGCAGAGAGTTGACTCCAGGGGCAGAGAAGTTCTGTGAAGTGGTCCACGTCGGATGTTTTCATTTGCAGCTGTAAGCTGGGATAATGCCCTGTGTTGTGAGGACAAAGCTCATTACGGGGACAGCGTAAGGGTCCAGGCAGAGGTGACTGATAGACAATGCCCCAGAAATGACAGCAGGCCTTAGCATCATTGTTTGTGCCTCGCATTAACTCCGGAGGGACCCAACCCTTCCAGGGCCAGTGAGTCTGGCTTCCCACACCCTGAACACACCCGCTCCCCCTCCCCCCTGCCAGACTGACTCCACTCTCCAGACCAACAGAAACCTTTTCTTCCTCTCTCCCAGTGTAAGAGTGTGCAAGAAGCCATCGCAGATGCTGAGCAGAAGGGAGAGCACGCCGTCAAAGATGCTCAGAGCAAGCTCTCTGACCTGGAAGTTGCCCTGCAACAGGCCCGGGAGGATCTGGCCCGGCTGCTGCGTGACTACCAGGAGCTCATGAACGTCAAGCTGGCACTGGACATCGAGATTGCGACCTACCGCAAGCTGCTGGAGGGCGAGGAGTGCAGGTGCGGGGCACTGGGGAGGCAGAAGCCACTCCCTCCTAGGACCAGGGCGAGAGGCCAAGGCAGGGAAAGCTGGGGGTGGAGCAGGGCCTTCTGACAGCTGAGAGCTGACATCACGATGTTCCTCAAGCAGCCATTCACCACCCAAAGCATTTAGTGTGCAGTTGTAGATTTATCAATACGGAATGACTATCAAGGCAGATTAAATTAAGCAATAAGTTAATCTTGTTTTTTTCTGAAAGAGAAAATAAAATGTTGTGAGAACAGGTTAGTCCTAGACAGCCTGAAACATTGGCTTATGGGTAAGCAGGGTGCATGGTGTCTTCTCCCTCCACCTTGTGACCCAGAGCCCGGGGACCACGTTGGAAGGTGCTGACTGGCTGAGGCCTGACTGGCTGGCTGTTCCCCGGCAGCAGGTGCCAGACCTAGTTCTGTGCAGATTTCCTGGGTGACAAACTGAATCATTTGCTAACCGCCCAAAGGGAACCTTTCCTTCCTCTGTTTGAGGGCCCTGTCTGAGCCCTTTGTCCGTGGTAGTAGCATCCCCAGTGATTTCATCTGGCTGAAGCAACCGGAAGGGGACAAGTTACCCCAGGCCACCAGCAAGCCAGCATGACAGGGAAGGAGCCGCTTTGCTTAGGCTATTGCTCTGCACCTGTCTTCGAGGCCATGCCTCCTATGCCCAGCCTGCAGGAAGAAGTGGGAGAGATTTCTGATGCAGCCGAGGAGGCGAGGGCAGGAGGGTAGGATGGGGAGGCTGTACAGAGTTGTAGTTCTTTCTGAATTGGATGCTCATAGTGCAGCCTCATTTCAAAATTTCTAGCGTGGCTTGGGTTCAGAATATCAGACTCGATATCATGGATTTAAACTCAAAAATGGGTTGCAAATCAGAAGTGAATTTGCTTTTTGATCATTTTCATCTGAGCAAAAAATTGGGATGCATTGGGCTGCTATGCCGTGTGGACAAACGTGGGGCCTGCCCATCTCTGTGATCTGGAAGCACAGGAGAGAGCGGGCTCTGGAAGCCCTGGTGGCTGATGGTCGAGGTGCATGCTCGCAGGTGGAAGCTCTAGAACAATATGGACACAGAGCCTAAGGGCCCCGCCACAAGCTATTTTCTCTCTCCCTGACAGGATGTCTGGAGACTTCACTAGCAACGTGACTATGTGTAAGTAGTGGGGTGTTCCTGTGCCGTGGGTGGTGTAATGGGAGGACGCAGGACGAGGCAGTCAGAATTTCCATGGGGACACTCTCTCTCTGCAGCCGTGACCAGCAGCACCATATCTTCGAGCGTGGCATCCAAGACCGGCTTTGGAGGCTATGGTTCTGGAGGTAGAGGATCCAGTTCTGGAGGAGTTGGCTACAGCTCTGGAAGTGGCAGTTACAGCTCTGGAGGCAGAGGATCCAGCTCCAGAGGTGGCGGTGGAGGGGAGTACGTTTCTGGAGGCAGCTCCAGAGGAGGCTCCGGCTCTGGAGGAGGATATGGTTCTGGAGGAGGCTCCAGAGGAGGTTCTGGCTCTGGAGGAGGATATGGTTCTGGAGGGGGATATGTCTCTGGAGGAGGCTCCAGAGGAGGCTCCGGCTCTGGGGGAGGCTCTAGAGGAGGTTTCAGCTCTGAAAAGGGTGGTTCTGGCTCAGGTGAAGGTTACAGTCCCAGCGTGACCTTCTCTTTTAGATAAGGATGGAGTTCCTGTCTTGACTCTTCCACTTAGAATGTAGAAGCCTGTCTCTGTACATCCAATCGACGGCAAGTCAAAGCTTGTCATCCACCTCTGGTGGCATCTTGGAGGAAAAGGATGCCCACATACCATGTTTGAAATATCTTCTCTCCAAACCAGTTAGTGGGAGCCAGTGACACCCTCTGAGCCCTAGGGAAGACTCTGCGTTGCTTGGCCTTGTACATCTGGCCATGCCCCCTTTCCTGGCCCCTCCTTGCATTGCCCATTTGGTGGTCCTTCTCCTGACGACTGTTCTGTTGAGGGCCCCATCTCAAAGCCTGCACCTTCCTCGTGGCCCTGCCCCCAGGGAAACATGTTTCTATGTATATAGCCCACCTTGCTGGCTCTGCATCTAAAGTGCTGTGGTCTTGGTGTCTGCACAATAAACCTTCATTTGCAATTTATAACATGCTGTGTGTGTTTAATGTCAAGCCTTGGCAGAAGTGGGTAGCCAGGAGCTATTACTCATTGCCTGTCTGACTTAAGATAGCAGAAAATGGAGAGATTGGGAAATGATAAAAGAGAAGCTTCCTGGAGCAGGGACATGTTGCCCTGAGACAGTGTGGTTGGGAGAAACCAAGGATATATATATATATATTTTTTCTGGAAGTCTTTAAGAACAGAGACAGGAGGGGCTAGCCCTGGAGTCGGGGTATGGGCGTGATGTTTTCAGAAAGTATTTGCCAGATCTGGGGACTGTGATATTGCCAGGAAGGTGACAGCGGGATTTGTGGAAAATTCTCTTTCCCAGAAAAAGCCACTCTTAACAAGCTTTTCCCACAACTACTCGCCCCCACCCCCCCAACCCTCTTCTGACAAGAGCTCTGATCTGAAGTCCCTTCTCCTCAGGGCAAATCAGCTGAGCCCCTTGAGTTCCATCCAGGCTGTCTGCAGCTCTGAGCTTCCAAGGCCGAATTCCCTTAGCTCAACCTAGGTCATGGACACTCTACATCCCCGAAGCCCTAAGTCCCCAGCAGGAGTTCTCAATGAAGGCTGAAGAAGAGGATCTGGGGAAGTCTCTGGAGGACTATAAAGTGATCTCCAAAATAAACAACCACTATTTTCACAGAACATTTCTCCACTTCTATCAGAGAAATTCCCCAACACATTCAGCAGATACTGGGGCCCCACATCCAACAGCCCTCTGAGACGCCCTAGCCCCGGACATCCTAATCAGGGCAGCCTTCCCCTATGGTTGGGATGATTTCAGCCTCTTCCCCATAAAGGCCTGTCACCTCATTGGAGCTTCATGGAGCTGAGGAAGGGCTGGGCTCTTGGGGTTGGGATTAGATTGGCCAGAGTTGCCCAAATGGGAGTTGGTAGTTTTGGTTGGGTCCGGTCAAGCTATATGTATGTGGTATTTGATACAGCAGACGTGGCTTAAGACAACTCAGAAAAAAAAAATCCTGGGAGATTCTTTTCTCTTTCATTTTACTTTAGCTTCAAAGCCTTGGTGAGGCCTTAGTTGAGGCTATTGAGGTGACTTTGAGCAATGCAGGGGAGGCATTAATAAGGAATAGATGGTTTCACCTGATCCCAGACCAGCTGGCCCCAGGTCTGAGGCTGTGGGAAGAGAGTGCTCTGAAGGCTGCAGGCCACAGAGTGACAGACAGTAGCTGAGGCTGACCAGTCAAGGGTGCTGTGGCCGACGCAGCCTTGGCTAGGTGGGAGAGGTCTGTGGAGGTGAGGGTACCAGCCGGGAAGGGGAAGGGCAAGGGGCTTGGCTGTTTTAGGGTGTATTTACCATGCAGGCATGAACATAGCCTTAAACAGGGCCTAGTCTCCCAGACATTTAGGGCTGGAATGGATCCTTAACGTCAGTGTTTTTGAGCCCCCAATATAGGTAAGGAAACAGATAAGGTCCAGGGTGGGCATAGAAAACGGACCTCCGCTCCCCAATTCATGTACTGTATAAAGGCTTCAGGAGCGGTGAGCTGTTCTGATAATTTTCTGAGGGGAAAGAAGGTGAGGCAGGAAAGGTGGCAGCTTTTATTCCCAACTACCTTAATTGCTGAGACTATTGGTGGTGTGAATCTCTCACCCCATCTATGGTTCACACTCCTCACTTCTACTCTATCTGGGACGAAGCCCTTCTCTTCCGATTTACTCAGACACGTGTTACTTTCATGTTGGGCTCCAATAGCAAAATGAGCCTGCTCAGAGGGACACAGGCCTGAGGCCTGAAAGAAATCTGGCTGTAAGCACCTAATGGAGTGAGGGGCCAGCTTTGGGGGATGGAGTCTCCTTTCCTCCTAAGTGTCACAGGAGACTAGTCCAGAATCTGAGACAGCCCTCTCCTACCTCTGCTTGTCTTCCACCAAATCTGGTAACTGACTTGTCAGGTCTTGGGCTTCAAAAGGGAGATGGGCACAGGCAGTAGGGTTTTATGAGCTCCATTTCCATTGGGAACTGGGTTAACTATTTACCTCCTGATGATGTGGCAGAGTATTTGGGACACCCTCCCTCCGGCGGTTCCCTCCCTTTCTCTACCTGTGAGTCCTGGTCTGAATTCAAATGAGCTTCTTTCCCCCTTTTACCCCTTTACCACACTCTTGCCTCTCAACTCAAATGAGAGTCCTTGGACAGCTTACCCCCTCCAGAAAGCCTGCTTGAGTGGGACACTCAAGCTCCTTTTTGCTGTGAGGAGGGGGAGGCCTTTCACCAGGAGTTGGGAGACTTAAATGCTGACCTTCACCTTGGGGGCAATTGCTGTGCAACATCAGACCAGTCATTTCTCTTCCCAAGGAGATAGTATGAGATTATCTCTACATATCTCTCCAGCTCAGGTGGAAAGAGCCCTGTCTGTGCTGTCGAGTTGGCCAGGGCTGGAGCGGGGATAGGATTTCAGTCAGGGAGGTCCAGAGGAGGGTGCCCCGAGGTGCATAGGGAGAAGCTAGAACAGAAGAAGGTTTGGGAACCCGCTGCGGCTGGCTCTTTCTTTGCCTATTTTGACTAGAAGCTCCTCGAGGGCTGGGAGAATACTTTCTCCAGCTCATGACCTTCCACAGAGATTGGTCCAGGGTCGAATGGAGTGCCTGGGGTGTGGCACTCAAGAAAAATTTTAAGAAAATGATTTTCAAAATAGCGATGACTTTCACTAGAATACCAGCCTTGCCTAAAAAGGAAGAAGACAATACAGAAAGGACTGTACAATCACATTCTGCCTCTCCTTCCACCTCACACCCCCTGTCTCCCAGTGGGCCTAGGCTGGTCTAGTGGCCAAAGTGCACCACCTCCCAGCAGGGCTCCCAATCCATGTCACCGCAGGTTTTATGCGTTCAATATCTGATTCAGTTCAACACCTACGTATTGAGTTCTGGAATCAGTCTGCCTCGGTCAAAGTCTGCCTCTCCCCCTTCACTAGTTGCAGTATTTGGCAAAGCCCTTCATCTTTTGAACCTTAGTTTCTCCTTCTAAAAACTGAAGATAATGGTGATATCTACCTCATAGTGCTGCCGTGAGAATTAAATGAGATTATCTTTGTGAAGCACGTCACACACCCTGGAACACGGTGATCAGGCAGTAAACGTTAGGGTTGTGGGTGCTATTATTGCTGCTGGAGAAGGACATGGACTTAACATTCATCTTTATAAAATGCCAAGGGTGAAAATGAGTAGTTTCTTCCATTCTTTTGAGTGGTTTATATAACACCATAGTTAAGTAGCAAGGACAGATATCATTATCACCCCATTTGACAGGTGACAAAACAGAGGCTGAAAAGCCCACAGTCACGAAACTGGGAAGTAATGGAGCTGGAATGAAGAATGAAAGGTATACATCTTACATCCTACATCATTTCCACTACACCCTGGCTCTGTTTTCCTCCTTTGCCCGGACCGGATTAGGGGTGTTTGTACAATGGGTGGGGACTGATACTTAGGTACAGGATTCTAGGGTGAGGGAAACATCTCAGCCTGGGTCTGGAGAAGGAGCCCAACTGGGAGAGATCGCTGAGCCCTGCCAGTGCACGTGTGAGAACTCAGGGGTACCAGGTGACTTCTGGCAGGCCTGCAGGGTCAGGGGGCAGAGGAGGTTGAAGGGCCCGAGATGGGGCCACGGGTCAGTGTGGTAACCTGCATTTTCCTGGCCTGGGTGATAGGTGGTGAGAGGAGCCTGGGTCTAGAATATTCCCTCGGGCAGCTGCCCTCATAATTATGGGGTGACCAAAAGAAGGGACCAGTGTCCTTGGCCTGCCTGAGCATTTTCTAAAGGAAGTGCTGTTTCATTTCCCTGCAGAGGGGTTTGCAGCATTACAGGGCTTGATTGCCTGTATTATAAAAATAACACCTGCTCATTATTTCAAGAAATAATGGAAATATAGAAAGGTAAAAAAATTTTAAATCAACCATTATATGAAATAACTATTGTTGACACTTTGATATAGATATATAATACTTTGAACATATTTTTCTAAGGTATTTAGCTTTAGTCAGTTTTAAAAAATACATAGCTACATTCAGCCTCGATCTCCAATCTTATTCTAGGTCTTCTTTTTCTGTGCCTCGGACTTCATGGTCATATGGATTATTCAGTTTTGATTTCTCCTTTTCTCAGTTAACAAGAAAACAGAAAAAAATTTTGTTTGCATACAATTTGTAACCATCATTTAAATTATCTATATAATATTCCTTTTATGGATGCAGTTTATTTAACTATTTTCTATTCTTTTTTTCACATCTGTTTTGGGAACACACACACACTCACACACCTATTTGGCGGGGGGGGGGGGGCGGTTAGAGAAGCAGAAGCAACTCCCATCAACTATGGAAAGCTCCATTGAATAGGTCTCGTTGAGTCACCATTCTTTCCAGATCACTTTCTAATCCATCAGTGTCACTGTCTGGAGGCTCTAGAAGATGTACCTGGAGTTTCAATACCACTCTGATAGAAACTAATAATGTTGAAATACCAATGGTTTCAGAAAATGCCTTATGTGAGAGCTTTTGGGATATAATCACACA